TTCCAATTCTTCTTTACAACATGACTAATGTGAAAATACTTTTAATAGGAATGTATATGTACAGCCTATATCAGACTGCACACCATCTTGGGCAGGGAGGTGGGAAAGCAGAGGGAGAAAATTTAAAACTCAAAAGCTTATGGAAATGAATATTAAAAACTAAAAATAAAAATAAAAAAGTATAAAAAATAACTATTGATCAGCGCAAACTTCAATGACTTAAACATTTTTAAAAAGCTATTAAAACAGAATTATCTATTTTTCCTAGCCATGGAAGGGGGCAAATTTATGTCTATTTTTACAACCAGAGGATACCAGAGATAAGATAGACATGTTTAAATATATAAAATATTTCTAAATCTTACATAATGAAACATAATAAAAAGAAAAAGAAGAGCAACAGAATGTGAAAGTGGTAAACATAAATAACAAAAACTTACTGTTCAAAATAAATAAAGGACTAGAACAAATATATTAAGTTAATATTTATATTCTACTTAATAGGTAGCCAAAGCAAGTTAAGTTACAGCGACAACAAATCATCACATGGAAAAATGCATGCCACAGCTAGCTTTTGAAAACTAAATTAAAACAGCTTTCAGGTAGCATTATTTAAATACTAAATTAACAAATAAAAATTCTGAAGTCTAATGATGATGAAGCTGTCAGAAAATTAGTATATATATGTATATGCACACATGTAGGTGGCACTATAAAATCTGACTTAGTCTTTCTTAATAGCAGTCTGGCAATATGTAACAATAGCAACAAAATTATAAAACCAGGAAACAGCTCAGAAGAAAAAAAATAACAATCTTTACAATGATGTTTCCAGCAATGCTACTCAGAAGACTAGAAAACTGGAAACAACCAAACATCAACACTAAGTAAACCACAGTAATTAACATAGTGGAATCTAAGAAAACTATTGAAAAAGACAAGAAAACTGGCTAAACAAAGATATGAAAAAATTTATGTGAAATGAAAGTTTAAAAAAAGCAGAACACAAAGTGGCAGGTAAAACATTAACAGACTGGAAATAAATATGTAGAGAACTAATGGAGCTTAATATTTATTAAGTTTTTTTCTCTTTAAATTTACTTAAATCTATAATAAAAAAAATAGAAATGCTTCAAAAAAAGGGGAAAAAAAACACATGTGAGAGTTGGTGGAGGCTTTAAGCAATCATTTTAGTGAAATGGACACTGAAGCCAGAGTGTAGAAGCACTTGCAATGCTATTTTCACAAAACGCAAAAGAACAGTTTATAACTGAGTTTTTTTAATAGTGCTAAATGCTCTTAGCTAGCATGATTCAAAAGGCAGGCAAAATAGTGTGGCGGACAAGAACGCCAGATTTAGAGACAGATGACATGAGTTGCTTGCCGCCTGGCTAAGAACCACCTCTGTGACCCTGGGTAATAAGCCACTTGACTGCTCTCATTTTCAGTTCTCATATATAAAATAAGGTTAGATTAGATGACCTCTGAGTTCCCTTCTCTTTCAGCTCCAAATGTTATGAGACAGTTCAATCAAACATTATGGTTAACATGGTCTTATGCTACCATGAATGCTATATACGGATCACCCATTTTCAAAGATCCATTTTCAAAGAATTAGAATACTGATAGTATAAACTACAGTGAACATAATTTATTTTTTAAAAAGATTCAGAAGCCCTTCCAAGATATTACAGACTCATTGGAAAAAACCTTGAAGTTGGGAAAGACTGAAAGCAAAAGGAAAAGAGGATGGCAGAGGATGAGATGGATAGAGTCATGGAAACAACAAACATGAGCTTAGACAGACTTCAGGAACTAGTGGAGAAGAGAAGGGCCTAGCATGCTGTAGTCCACAGGGTCATGAAGAGTCGGACAATGACTGAACAACAATAACTGACAGTATGTATTACTAAAAATAAAATAAACCCAAGAAATCAATATATGAAGTAAAGTGTAAAAAAGGTATGCCAAAAGTCCCAGGAGCGTACAAAGCAACTTATTAATTTGGCAATTCTTGAAAAAGCTGCCTGAAAGCACTGTAACCTTTATACTGCTTTAGCTGATTATCAGAAAACTTATGACTCAAGTTTTATACTCACATATTGCAAATCTATAAAAAGGTAAAGTATAGTGAATATGCTAGAATACTTGTCCACATGGAAAATTATTCTCTATTTAAAAAACCCACCAACAACCCAATAATGTCAAAAACAAGTGATAGAAAAAAATGGTACTTTTCAATGAAATAGTTTAAAGTCATTATGGTTTTGTCAAGTCTTACATCCATTTTCATCTCCTAAACTAAAAAGGGCTTCCAAATTAAAGAGGGAGCCAAACCAAAGTCCCAGATGTACCAGATGTACACAGATGATACCACATGTCTCCAAAAATCACATTTAACAGCTCCATCACCTCATACAAACTTTCTCCAATAACATAAAATGTCCCTTGGAGTTGAGAAGTATGAATGGATTATAAGGAAAGATAAAAACTAAGGATGTAAGATTGAATTTACAGGTCACAAGGAACTAATGGATATATGCAATAACTATAGATACCTTGGTTTGCTCCAGGTGAACAGATATCAAGGCTGTGGCTAAACATGTTAAGAGATTTATTGACATGCTGAAATCAAAGCTGAACGAGAAGAAAATGTTTAACACAATTAACACTTACCCAGTATCTGTCTTAATTTATACTTTTGGAATTGTAAAATGGACCATAACTTATTTGTAAGGCACACTAACAAACCTGTACAATATTAGTGAAAACACAGGATTCATCACCCTTAGGCAGCTATAGAAAGATGAATGCTCCTTTGTCAAAAAGGAGGAAGAGGACTGATGGAAATTCTTAGAGCCATAGCAAATAGGTCCAAAACCTTCAGAAACACTTTTGGAACAAGTAGCAATAGTAATAAAAGTTGATCATAGGTTTCTGAATTTGTCTAATGTAACTGAAAGCAGTTTATCTCTGGATAGAACCTATGAAATAGTTAAGATCCAAGAATGAAATTAAAAAGTGCATTCAGTCCATAGGTGACAGCAGCATGAACACAACCAGCAAGCAATATGTTGAACAGGAAGCACTAAGCAAATGGTTGAGTTGTGTAGATTTGTTTCTGGAAACAAGAGGGGCTTTATGATGGCAATTCAGGATCTGGTCACCGCAGCCATAAGTTACAAAAAAGGCTGTTCTCAGGGAAGTTGGACTCAATCTATGTAGATTACACAAGGAAATAACAGAAACTAAGCCACACATCACTACTGGCCTTGCAAATTTGGTGCCTAACAGAAGACATGATCTGGTGGTTAGACTTATACACCAGAAGCTTACTTTATTTAATGGAAAAACAGGTTACAAATCATTATGCTTACAAATACAGACCTCAAAAACTAATGGAGGTTTCAACCAAACTACCAAAACTGTACTATCATCATGGACTTATCCACAATTGCCTAGACATGACATTGACCCAGAAAAACTGAAAAACAACCTTTGTTTTTAATTTCAAAAAATCGTTGTTGGCAACTGACTGTGTATGTGCTGGGGGTGAGGGAGAGTGAGGAGTCAAGAATAATACTGAGGTTGCAAACCTAGGTAACAAAGGATGGTAATACCCTTGACAGAAAGAGGGAGATTCAGAAATGGGAGTAAATTCTAAAGGAAAGAGAATGAGTCCAGTTTTGGATGTCCAAAAAAGAACTCATTATCTTCTCCCCAAATCCACCCCCTTTCTGAATTATTCACTTATTATCCTGGTCACTCAAGCCCACAGTGTCGGTGTTACCCTCGATTCCTGTCACCACACATATCCAACCAGCTGGCCAATCTTGTTTCTATCTCTACATCTGTCATAGTTCCCCTTCTCACCACCCACAGTCACCACCCCTCACTCACCAGGACAACTGAAATAGCCTCTCAGTGTCATTGCTTACAGTCTTTCATATTTCCAATTCATTGTCCAGAAAGATGACAAAGTAATTTTCCTAAAGTGCAGATCTGCTCACACTCAGTAAAAACTCCGGTAGATCCCTATTACCTATCAAATATAAACTCCTAATTGTCATTTAAAACTCTTCACACCCTAGCTCCTTCCTAACTTTCCAGCCTATTTATGTATTACACTCCTCCACAATCTTCACAATCCTGTCAGACTGGCTTACTTGCTGTTCCTCATATATAAGATTCCATTTCCCATCTCTGTGGCTTTAAACCGACTGCCCCTCATACCTAGAATGCCTTCCCATCAGACCTCCACCTCCTGGAATCCCTCATTTCCTTCAAGATTTAGCTAAAGCACCACTTTCTGCACGAGGCCTTTCTTGGTCTTAGTGCCTTCTCCTCCAAGGTTTCCTGTTTCCCATATGTGTATACTCATATGTTTATATGGTTCTCTCATTAGAATGTAAATTGCTTGAAGGCAAGGACTGTCTTCTTTTTGTCTTTCTGTTTCTAGCACGTAGCATAGTGCCTGACACATAGTAAGAGTTTAATAAATGCTTGCTGATTGTCTCCTAACTCTCTTTGGGGCCTAACAAATAATAAGGAAGGTTTTCATTACTAGCATTCTACATCCTATTCAATCCCAGCATCCGAGGCATAATAAAAAGCAGTTCTTCTGGGTAAATAATTGCCTTACGTTGCTGAGACATCAATGCTCCAGGAAGATTACTAAACAAAGTTGTTAAGGCATTAGATGGTGGGGAGAACTGCAGGAGAGATAGCAGGACCTGACCTCATATATAAAGAAGATGTTTCATCACCCTTTAAATATTATCAGCACTTATTCTTACGAACTACTCCACAAACTAGTTCAAGAAATAAGACTGAAGGATACCTGACAAATTACTAGATATAGACAAGAAACTAAAGAAAAGATAAAACTTCATTTTTAAAGTCTGGTTTTAAATAAGACTTCAAAGGGGACAATGCCAAGAGTCACTATCAACTAGAGTCCTCTGATAGTTTCACTCATTAATCTCTAGATAAAGACTAACCGTGCCCCATCTCGGTCTGGGCGTAGGTGCCAATTATCTGGAGTCCTTGGGTTGGAGGCAGCCATTTCTGTTGCTGAGCAGTGTTGCCCTGATTCAGCAAGGTAGGGATAAACATGGAGTAATTGAGGCCAACCGGTTCCACAAAATTGATCAAATGTAGTCTACAGGAGAGAAAAGAAAAGGATCTCAGCCTTACTCTAATAGTAACTGCCTGAAAATATTTTTTTCCTACATACCAACCTCCTCTCCAAATAGTTCTCACCCATGAGGTCATAAAAGTTTCGTCCTTCATCTTTCAAATTTAGTGATAGTATTTTCCACACAAACCACATTCATTATTTTACAACCTGATAAATCTGCAATTGAAACTCCTAGCATTTGTTCTCTTGGTAGTTCTGCTCTTAGCCTAGTTAATAATTCAGGATGAGATTTCCTCTTAAAACCGCTTTTGATCAGTTCCTGAAAGTAAATCCTTCCTATGACAGCAACTGAAAAAAAATATTTTCATAGAAGATCAAAAGAAATTCCTCCAAAGTATTCATCTGTTTTTGGCTAACAACTATTTTTAGTCTTTCTTTGCCTAGGTAACCAAAGGCAGTGATGAGAGTAGGTACGTACTGGGGTAAAGTATATTTATTGTTCTTGCTGTTGTTCAGTTGTGTCTGACTTTTCATGACCCCACTTGGAGCTTTCTTGGCAAAGATACTACAGTGGTTCACAGATGAGGAAAGTGAGGCAAACAGGGTGAAGTGACTTGCCCAGGGTCACACAGATAGTGTCTGAGGCCAGATTTGAACTCAGCAAGATGAGTCTTCCTGACTCCAGGCCTTGCACTCTATCTACTGCACCACCTAGGTGCCCATAAAGTGTATTAGGACACAAAAATTCTTAGTGAGGTAAATAGTACTGCCAATATCTCATAAGTCTATCCTCAGTGGTCTTGGCATTAAATATAACAAGATTACTTATGTCTACCTGCAAATTGAATCACAATCACAATCACTAATACTAAAAACAATACAGTAAATATACTGTCAACCTCCTACACACTTGAAGAATTAAACAAAACTGAAGAAATGTTCTTTAAAATGTCTCTTGAATAAAGAAATAGGAGTGATTATTATTCCTATTTTGAGGATTTGTTGAAGGGAAAAGAGATCAGATGGGGTTACTGCTCACAGGAAGGCATCAAACCACCCCCACTATTAGGGAAGGTATCAAGAATAACGATCCATCATCACTCCTATTTCTCCAAGTGAAGCAATACACAAATTTACAGGATCACAGGATTTAGAAACAAAGGGAATTTAGAATGACTCCAACCATCTCAATTTAAAAGTGAAAAAGCCAGGTGAAATTTAGAGACCTGCCTAAGGTCACACAGAAGCAAAATTAAGATTCAAACAGAGTCATCTGACTCTAAACCTACTGCTTACTCCTCTTTACCAGGCTGCCTCACTTACTTTTTCCATCTTGATAATATGATAATCTCAATCACTTGAATAAACTTCTACGCTTCTACATTGCTAAATCCCAGTAATCTAAATGGATGTAACCCAAAAATTACAGATGTCTAGCTGAATAACTGTATTCTGGATGCCAAACCCTGTTTCTGTGCCAACAAAACAATAAAATGAGTTGCTTATTATAATGCACTAATTAAAAATGCCTGAATACCAGCAAAGATCAAATGTGATTTGTGGGGAGGGAAGAAGGAAGAAAAGGAGTTAATTCGTTGCCAAAGTTATTTGGGTTAACAACAGCATAATTTAGAATTGAATAATCTTAATGTTGGAAGAGATCCTAGAATTCATCTAGTCCACCCCCTTCAATGTCATAAATGTGGGAACTCAAGCCCAGAGATAAAGTTACTTCCCCAAGGTTACCACAACTAATTAAGTTCCAGAGTTGTGACAAAACCTGTCTTCTGATGCCAAATCCAGTGTCTTTCCCCCATCTGATCATCAATTTCACCAATAGCACTTAACTAATCTAAACACCAGAATCTCACTGGGGAGCGTGAATTCATAAATCAATCTCAAAAACAAGAAGGATTTTAATAGCTAATGACATCAAGACTTACAAGCATTAGTAATTCCTAAATCACTCTCCACAAAAATCTAGGCAAGAATGTAAATCTGAGAGGAATCCTCACAAATAAGAGTAGTAACTTAAATGAAAAGGATAGTGGCCTTTCAATATATTCCTTTGGGATTTCTAGAATTGGTGACATAATGACAATGAATAAGGCATCTACACATCTGGTAGTAAATATACATGAAAATGAAAATGAATGAAAAGAGCTACCCATTCAAAATCCTAATATAAGGAACAGAGAGCCACTGGTACTTTTCAACTACTACTCTAAAATGAAACTTAAAATACAAATTCAATTTATACTTAAGAGGAAAAAGGAAAATCACAATCACACAAGTTTAAACATATCAAACTAGAAAACTGAGTTTTAGTGAGTGTGTTTTCTTTGTATAGCAGAAATAATCGTTAGGAAAATTTTTTCTAACAATTCCTATACAATAAAGTCTATTTTCTCAGGTGATGGTTCAAATAGCCCTTATTCTTCAACATGACCATTTGAAAATATTTTACAAAAAAAAAAAAGAAAAGAAAATATTTTACAAATATTCACACTGAACATGCAGTATTCTTATAAAACATAATATTCTTGTTGTATGAGGAGAAATTAATATACAAAGAATACCAGCAGTTGACTTGTCCAACATCCTTCAAGAATGGAATTATTGACAAAATTTTCTATTTCCAATCTCCTCTAATATAAATGAAGGTGAAATCCCTCACAAATGTCACCAAGATGATTAAAAAAAAAACTTTTAATATTTAAAGTGAAACATGATACACAGGAAAAATTATATTTCCTATCAAATGGAGTATTTCGTTCTATTTCATTATGATTTCACTTGAGTCTGGCTATATATTATATTCACAATTACAAGAAAGGAATCTTTATCAAGACTGATTTGGATACCCTATCTTTCACTTAAAGAAATACAAGCCAACCTCTCTAGAAGTATCTGATTTGTCATTTTTAAATGTCATCTGATAAATAGGGGGTTAATAATATTTTATAAAACTTACCATCACAAATGACTCAAAGCTAAAATGTAATTTACTAGTTCACATCTAGATATTCTTCTTCATTATCTCCATAGTCATAAGACATACAAGTTATCAAAATAAAAGGAGCATTTAAAAGTGTGTGAGTGATACTACAAGTTGGATTATCTAGAAAAGTTCAAATTTCAGTAATTGTGAAAAGATCCCTGGATAGATTTAGAGACCTCTTTCAGAAGGCCAAAGTACTATTATTTTGTATAATGTTAAAATAAATGACACAAGATTTATTTTTTAATGGAAAATTCACAGAAAATAAGTTTATTAAAACTTCAAATCACTTCTAAATTACAAATTATTTTATTTTAACATGCCATCTGATAAAGCTGTAGTGTAATCCACTCAAAGAATATATATGAATTATATTTGTGATTAAACTCTGCTAAATTCCTATTTTATTTTTAATTTTCTGACTTTAAATGCCTGAATGGTTTTAAAGAAGCATTAACTTTTGACATATCTCAAACCAGATGCAAATGAAAGGATTTCAATATGTAATTTTTTTTTTTTGTTTAAATCCTGCCGAAGGTATATAAATGCACAAGATTTTACTATTTAAGCTTAAATGTTTTCTGCTGGGAGGAAAGTTTGACATTATCAGAATTGTTACGATGGGTTCTTTAGAATGTCTTCAAGGCAAAGTATGATGTGGTAGAAAGAGCACTCAAGTTGAATCTGGCAGATCTGCCACATGTGCCTGGGCACTGACCAGGGGTCAAGGGTGCCTGGGTATGCAGGCACATTGTAGGTGGAGGTTTGTAGCTAGTCTTTCCTTTTCCTCTCGGGGGAGGATCAACCAGAAAGGTTACCTTAGTGTGTGTCTGGCCTACGTGGCCTCTATTTTATGCATGCTCCTGCTGCCATAAACTTTATGTGACTCTGATTTGTCATCCCAGCTACACCATGAGGTTGTTTGATTTGGGGCATTCTTTCTCAACCTGTTTTCCTACTTGTCAAATAAGAGAGTTGAGCGAAATGATCTCCAAGGTCTCTTCCAACTATAAATTTCTATAATTTCATGGATTCTCCACTTTGCTCCCATAGGTTTTTCAGCTATCAGTACTGTCCCTCATAATCTTTCCTAGGCCACAGGAACTATGTGAATAACACAAGATGTAAAAAATAAAGACGTACAATGATATCTTAAAGTAACTAATCAATATAGTTACTACAAAAAGGAGAACTTAAATATATTGTATATTTTCTATGGGTTTTTTTTTTTAAAAACATGGATTGTCTAGGACATAAATATCTTGACTGTTCAAAAATATTTACTGCTATGAAAGGAAAAATTTATTGAGTATGAGACTCCCATAAACCAAATAAACTATAAACAACCACATATTATTAAGAAGTTAGAGCATTACTTAGCCAGAATGAATCAGAAAACATTAAACCTGTTTTATTTCTTTTAAAAAAACAACAACACCCACACACAAAACAAAGAACACAGGGGTTCTAATAACAAAGTATATGTTTGGCATCTATCAGCAAATCACAGATTTTGTTTAGAGCCTACATATAAAATGAATTCCATTTAAATAACCACCACCAACCACAACACTGTTCAATTCTTAGAACACTTTCCATTAATTCTATTTAAGCCTATCAGTTAAATGGTCTTCCCATCAACACACTTTTTTTTATGATTTTTGACAACAGCTATGTATTACAGTTACAAATGCTTATGCCACACCCTGCAACAAGACAAAATAAAAACTCACATTTCAGTTCCTCAAGAATATTCTTGCTACCATGAGATGTTTCTGGGCTCACTACAAGAAATCCCCCAAAATTTTCAAGGCACGGGAGGCCTTTGTGGGGGGCTTAAATCTCTAAAAACCAAGAAGTTGTGACCAAAGTATACCTTTTAAATAACAGAGACCTGAAAGTAAGAATTTAAAAATTTCTATCAATCGACAAGTCTCCAATATGTTTCCATGCTAAAGTAAGTTCAAAGGTAGAAGGGGCCGAAGAACTCATAATCCAATCATTTTTTCCTTCAAGATGAGGAAGATAAAGCCCCTGGACATTAAGTGATTTGTTTAAGGTCCACAGATAGGCAAGTATCAGAAGCAGGATTTGGACCTAGGTCTCTAACTCCAGTTGTTTCACAATGCCTCTAACAATTATTATGCCTCTGAAGAATAATATAATGCAAAGTTAGGGGAAAACTTTAGTTCTGGCCTTAGATCTATCCATTACTTAAATTGACACAGCAGACTACAGGTTACCTTTTAACATTACTTAACACTGATCTACATAGAACAGGGTTTTTTCTTTAACCTGGTGTCTATGAATTTTTAAAGATATATTTTGATAACTATTTCACTAGAACCGACTTCCTTTTTAATCCCATGCATTTGATTTTATGCTTTCAAAACATTATTCTGGGGGTAGTTAGGGGGTGGAGTAGATAAAGCACTGGTCCTGGAGTCAGGAGAACCTGTGTTCAAATCTGACCTCAGACTCACTAGCTGTGTGACCCTGGGCAAGTCACTTAACCCCAACTGCCTTAGAAAAAAAAATGCCTGTCCAAAAACATTAATCTGGTACTGTCGGAGGATATGACACCAAGAAAGGTTACAACTCCGATCTAGAAGATTAAGAACTAGAAAAGCACAGATCCAAGAGCAATCACACCCAGGCACACAACACTGGTCTAAAAGGACTAAGGATTAGAAAAGCACAGATTCCAAGAGCAGTTTAAGCTCTCAGATCTCTACCACTCGAACACTTACTTTTTAAACCACATGATCTCTTCGGGATCAGCAATGCCAAAATCTCGAATCTTCTTCACCACTGTGGCACTCTTTCTGACAGCTATCTCATAGCGCTGGCTTCGGGTAAGGAAATTCAAGTCTTCATGCTTAAAGTCCGGATCATTCAGAATCAAGTTCTCTGAAGTTTGGAGGAGACACAAAATTCAGAAACCTATTACTATCTCCTCAGGAGATCGAGAAAGAGCCGTTTTTAAATGCTAAACTCAGGAAACTACAAAGAAAGCAAAAGCCAGTTCCGGCTCTTAAATGGGGAGACAACATACTAACAGCCACGTACGGACAAATACATACAGAATAAATGGGAGACAATCAACAGAGGAAAGGCATTAGAATGGGGGGGGGGGTTCTAGAGAGGCTTCTAGCAGAAGATCGGATTTTAGCTGAGACTTCAAGGAAGGCAGGAGACGGAGGAGCTGAAAGCCGATTACAGGCAGGGGTTCCCCACTATCCCCCAGCAGCCATAGGAGCATATCCGAGTACTGGGGCGGAGGCCTGACCTATCCCACCCCCACCTGATGCCCAGAGCGCCAGGGGCCGAAAAAAACCCGACCAGCTCGGCCCTCACACACGAGTCCCTTCCTCGTAATTCCCCCCACCCCCGGCTCCCCTGCAGCTCACCCCGAGCCCCCGCAGCCCCCCGGGGTCCCGCCCAGCCGCTCTTACCGATCTCCCGGCGGCGCCGGGTCCTCTCGCAGCCCCCATCCAGGATGTAGGTGAGTTTCTCCGCATCGAAGCTGGCAGCGTCCCGCTCCCGGCGCAGGTCTGGGTTCATGGTGAGGGCTGGTGATGGGGCAGAAGGTGATGGCAATCAGAAGTCCTGGCTCCCGCAGCCTGTTCGCTCCCTTCTAGGGCTCGAGTCTCGGGCCAGGACCACGGCCGGTCCCTAACACATCCAGCACCGCCCCCGCCCGTGGCACGTGACCGCGGCCCTGCGCCAGGAAGCCGGGCCGGTCCTAGCCCAGCGAGAGCGGAGCTCCGCCCGTCCCTGAGGAGGAGGAGGGGGGCGGGGAGAAGGCCGGACCACAGCTCGTTCGCTCCAGGAGTGGAAGCCGGGATGTGGGCGGATCGTGGGGCAGAGAGCGCCGCCACATCTCGTCTCCGCCACGCAGGCCCGGACGTACGGCATAGCGTCATCCTGCCGCCTCTGACGGCTTGTCCGTCACGTGATGTGCTCTCGTTCACGTGGGGAAAGTTCTCTCCCCACCACACATCTACCCCCCACCGCGGAAGGCTACGACTGTGGGAACCTTGGGACAGGTGGGTGAGGGGATAGGGACGGGGGCGGGAGAGGGACAAGCTGAGAGAGTGGCCTCGCGCTTGCGCCTCGGAGCCTCGGTCTGACTTTCCCCCCGCCCCGCCCCCGGAAGTCCGAGGACAAAGGCGTGCCCGGATGCCGGGGAGAAGCTGACCTTCCCCAAGTGGAGCGGAGGCTGGTATCTTTCGGTGCAGTCCTGGGCTCCTTTGGTACTGTGCTCTCGCAAGGGGGAAGAAGGTTTGGCCTCGGAGCCATTTTTTTTTTTTAAATGCTTGGTGCTGTGAATTTCCTGGACACCCAAAAGTATAAATTTTCCTTTCTCACCTCGAGCTCCTCGATTCCTTCTTGACTCAAGTCCTAGAAACATGTTCTGCCAGAAGTCTCTCCAGATACCCCTCAATGCTAGGGCCTTTCCCCCGAGATTACCTCCCGTTTACATTGTATGTATCATGTACCCACGTCAGGATTTGCATCTTCTTTACCTCGTTAGAATGTGAGCACATTGAGGGCAGGGGCTGTCTTACAGTTTTCTTTGTATCCCCAGGGTTTAGGACTGAACCTGTCTAAGGAAGGAAGCGGTAATAATTCATTAACGACATAATGTCATCCTACACATATATCTGTTAGACATCATGGAGAAGAAGGTTAGAGGAATTTAGAGCTGGAAGGGACACTGGTTCAGTGGAAAGAATGCATCATTTGAAGTAAGGGTTGGGTTCAGTTCCCCTTGCTGCTATCGGTTATCTGTGTGACCTTGGGCAGGTCACTTAACTTGCCTTGACCTAAACTTTTTCACCTGTAAAATGAGGGAATTGACAACCCAACCCAGGCGTCAAACGCAGACCTGGCTTGCAACACTCTTGAGTGTTAAAGGAACCAGGTTAAAATGTAATTGGGAAATGTTTACCAAAATAAAAATACAATAGAAGATAATGTTAACATGCACTTCGTAAATCAATTATTCCCCTTCGGGGATCCATTTGTATTGTTTAGTGACTGCATTTCTGTTTGAGTTTGCTGCCACTGGATGACCTTTAAGGTGCCTTTGAGTTCTAAATGAATAATCCTATGATCTTAGAGATGATCTGGTACTATGTCCTCATCTTGCAAAGGAAGAACATGGATTCCAAATGGTTCAGCCAGGTCTCAAAAGCTACGTCTTATAATTCTGAATTCATATTTCTCAACATGAATTAATCATACTGCCTCACCAGACATTTTTTAAAGGTTGGCAGTGGCAGCTGGTGGTATAACGGATAGAGTACTGAGCCTGGAATCAGGAGGATATGAGTTCAAATCCAGCCTCAGAACTTAGCAGTGTGACCCTGGGCAAGTCACTTTCTTAATTATAAAATGGGGATGGTAATAGCACCTGCCTCACAAGGTAAAGATCAAATGAAGATCTTTATGAAGATCAAATGAGATAATATTTATAAAAAAAAAAAGCTCTTAGCATAGTGCCTGGCATATAGTAGGTGTTATATAAATGCTTTTTCTTTACCTACATCTCCCCACCACCTCTTGAAGTATCTACATGTACAAAGCTGCTATGTGAAAGTGAGACATGGGGCAGCTAGGTGGTGCAGTGGATAGAGCACTGGCCCTGAAGTCAGGAAGACCTGAGTTCAAAAATCCAGCCTCAGACCAAACGCTTGAAACTTACTAGCTGTGTGACCCTGGGCAAGTCACTTAACCCCAATTGCCTAAAAAAAAAAAAGTGAGACATGAAATAAAGCTGCTTCTGTTGAACAGAAGAATTTTAAATGACTATCATAAAGAGGGCAATGAAAAGGTACATGTGGATGAGAGTAGGCTGTAACAGTATGGTCTTCAAGGAACTGTACGTTGGAAAAAAAAAAGATGACTGATCAGGTGATGAAAAGGAGGGATCCCAAGTGGTCAGCTAGTTTGTTTCACTGGCACCCTTGAAATCAATGTCAAGAGAAAATGTGGAAGGCCTCCAGGTGAAACTTTTGTGGTGAATTTATGGGAGAACATGAACAAGGAAGGGCAGGCATTGACAGGTTGTGACCTGAATCCCTGGAATTCCCTAATTAATCAGACAGATTCATTTGAGTACTTGAGAAAGTACATATACAAAGGCGTTGGGGATACAAGGCTCCAGGACCCTGCTCTCAAGATAGACCTGTAAAGCTAGAAGAGTTTAGAGATCATAGAGGCCAACACCTTCATTTTACATAGGAGGGAACAGACCCTGAGAATTGAAGGGACTTGCATAAAGTCATAGAAAGTAAGAGCAGGGCTTGAACTCTAAGTCTTTGACTCCAAATCCAGCACTCTTTGCATTATACTTTATCTCTTTCAATCTAATAATGGAGGGAAAAACATGTCCAAATGACCATGATGCAAAGGAGATTTTGATAAGTACAATCTTTTGATAGTATTATGAGAAATTTGAGAAAACACAGATCACTTTCAGGTCAGGGAGTCAAGGAAATCTTTATGCAAAAAGTGGCAAAGGAATTAGGTTTTGAATGATGGCAGTGACTCCAAACAAATTGAGATAGGGGTGGGAGCACATTCCATAAATTAGGGGTACGTGAGTATTACAGAGGTGAGAGGGTAGACCAAGAATGGAAGATGTAGTCTAGTTTGTGGGCATATACCCTATAGAACTAAAAGACAGAAATAAAAGTCTAGTATATACCAAAATATTTACAACAGAGCTCTTTGTGGTGGCAGAGACTTGAAGACAGTGAGTGACTGCTGGATTGGAAAGGCTGAACAAAACTATGGCATATAAATATCATGGAAGTCTGTTGATAGAAAGAAATGATAGATTTCAAGAATTCAGAAAAACATGAGAAGATTTGTATGAGGTGATGTGGAGTGAATAACGGAAGTAAACAAACAAAAAATAATGTACACAGTGGCTACCACAATATTAATGAAAATATCACTAAAAGAAGAGAGAACTCTACCTGAAAAAGCAGTGAAGGTTTTCAAAAACAGATAATGAAACCTAATGTCCCACCACAAAGAAGCAGGAAACTAGTAGGACAAAACGTTTTATAGATGTGGCCTCCATATTATGTGTTTTTGCTTGTTTTTCTTTGTCATAAGGAAGTTTTCAGTCTGAAGGAGAAAAGTTGAAATGACCAATATAAAAAGGAAACCAATCAAACTTTTTTTTTTTGTAAAGAAAGTAGTATAACTGGAATGTACAGTACAGGAAGGTAAGTAGATGAAAGAAGACTGGAAAGGTGGGTTGGAGCCAAATTCTGGAGGGACTTAAATAGCGTGATAAAGAATTTATACTTTTATTCAGTAGGTAGTAGGGAACACTTAAGGTTTTTTAATAAAGAGATGGTGTAATCTAAGCTGTGCATTGGTATCCAAGTGATAGGTCATGAAAGCCTACACTAGGGTGATTACAGGGAAATTAAAAAATGGGAACAGATACAAGAAATATTTCCAGGCGGAGGACTAAGTAGGATCCGGACTTTGTACCAGATCACCAACAAGCAACTGCATGTAAACATGAGCATAAACATGAGCAGCATGTAAATAGCTAAGCCCAGCACCACTCCTCTTGAAGCTCTTATTCCTGCCCTACACCCCCTCAAAGGAGTTTAGGTTGTGCTCATGTTGACAGTTGTCCCACAATTGCTAGTTACGGTTCTGTTGCCAGGATAGAAACAACAGTACTTGCCACTTGATCATCTGTGAAGGTTGGGAGAGAGTAAGATTAAAGAGGCCTGTGTGACTGTGAATAATGGAAGAGAAACTAGGTTTTTGAGGAAAGATCAGTTCAATTTTGGACATATTAAGCTTCAGTTATCAGCAGGACATTGAAGTGAAGATGTCTGGCAGAAATTATAGGTTCAGGCCTGGAATTCAAAGAGGAGGTTGAGAGTAAATACAAAGGTTTGTGCATAATCTGCGTAGAGATAACCATAGCTACGGAAATGGATAAGATACGCAAGGGAACGAGTCTAGAGAGAGAAGAGGCTAAAACTTTGAGAGATGTCTATGTTTAAGAGACAGCAGGAGGATGAGGAGCCAGTAAAACGCTTTCAGAGGGCGTGGAATAGTTTGCCTGTGAGATCTATGGATAAGGGAAGAATTTATGACCAAACAGGAAATAGAAAGCATTACAAGAGGTAAAATGGATAATTTTGATTACATTAAGTTAAAAAGGGTTTTTCACAAACAAAACCAAAGCAAGGTTAGTTAGACCAAGAGTAGAAAGAAATTAGAAAGCTGAGGGGAAAAAATTTACAGCAAGTATCTCTGATGAAGACCTCATTTCTCAAATATATAGGGAACTGAGTGAAATTTTTAAGACTACAAGACATTCCCCAGTTGATACATGATCAAAGGATACAAACAGGCAGTTTTCAGATGAAGAAATCAAAGCTGTCTATAGTCATATGAAAAAAATGCTCTAAATCATTATTGATTAGAGAAATGCAAATTAAAGCAACTCTGAGTATCATGTTATGCCTATCAGATTGGCTAATGTGACAGAAAAGGAAAATGACAAATGTTGGGAGGATGTGGGAAAATTGGGACACTAATGTGTTGTTGGTGAAGCTGTAAACTGATCCAGCCGTTCTATACAGCAGTTTGGAACTGTGCCCAAAGGGTTATAAAACTATTTGTATCCTTTGACCCAACAATACCACTACTA